ACCCTATCTCTCTAACCTCTCTCCCCACAGCAGTACCTGCTGCCTCCACTCTACTGGGTCCGTCCTCCTCCGCATCCCCTGACTGCTTCACTCTTCCAACGGCAGCTGTGGCTTCAGCCACTGTGCCCCGAAACTTTGGAACTCTCTCCCTCAGCCCCTTCGCCTCGCCCCCCCTCCTCCATCTTCAGGTCGCACCTGACGACCTTCCTTTTCGACCGTGCCTACGGTCACCTTCCCCCTCCCCCTGGTTTGGCCTTGGGGTCCACCACCACCCAGCATGGAGGGCGCTATATAAATGCAAGTTTTTATTAATCTTTAAAGCTTTTCCTGTGCCTTTGAGCAGTTGCACATTTGTATGGTGTTGCTATGTTTTATTGGAATGAAACATGAATTGCACAACAGCTGTACTCTAGTCTATTTAACTGTAACTGATCAGCCAAACAGGAGCTAAACTGAGATTGTGCTGAATAGGTGCCAGCTTTCTGGTGTTTAGACAGTAGTGTAGATACAGATCTCCCATTAATAATAATAATAATAATCCTTGCATTTGATATAGCGCTTTTCACATCTGGAGGACGTCCCAAAGCACTTCACAGAACACACTGTAAAGTGAATTGACTGTATATTTGTGGGTGAACGCGGCAGCCAATTGCGCACAGCAATGTCCCACAAACAGTCGTAGATTGAAAATGACCAATTTATTATTGTTTTTGGTTTTGGAGGGATTATTATTAGGCGTGTGGAGTAAGGAAACTTGCCCAAGGTTTCGCCCTGCGTGGAATTGAACTCAGGTCTCTCGCTTGCAAAGCGAGTGCTCTAACCACTGAGCTACAGGACTCCACGCCATACCAGCCGAAATTCATATGAAGGAAGATCCAATTTCTTGTCAAGGAAGTTTATGATGTGGAGTAACCAAGTTACTAAAACATCTGATATGACCACAAAATGTGCATCCCACAGAGGATCTTTCCATTATTGGGGTGAAATGTGCAAGGTTTCTAACTGTCTGATGTGATCATTTTCGCCCATAAAACACACAGCCACTGAACTTTATAGTAAATCCTGGGAAGTGTTTTGGGACATTGTCCTGACGTGAAATGCTCCATACTAGTTGTAAGGATTATTATTATTATTTATCACCAGTGCATAAGATCCCAAGGGTACAAATTCTTTGGTGTTCAACAGTGAATGACTCCTAGGAGCTGAAAGCACTGCCAATTTCCGGTGAAGGGTTTCTGTCACTCACTTAGTTTCTAGATCTGCTACTATCTTGGATTTATTAGGCTCAAGGTCTTCAGATGATCATTTTTAGACTGGAGAGAGCACCAATTTTGAAGTTCTTCAGGAGATTATAGATAGAAAATAAATAAAATCAAAATGTCGTTGCTTCAAAAAAAATGACAGCAATCAATCTGTAAAAGAATCAAATGGGTGAAACCAGAAGTTGGCGGAGGAAAAGTCCCTCTGGTGAATATTACATTAAAACTTGTTGAATTTTACTGAGCCAATTACAGCTCAGTGACCCATGATGATCCAAATCCAGCAAACGTGCTGAAAATGCTCTCCGATTGTATAATTGTCAATTTGGTGATTATAAAATCATACTGAGAGATTAATTTTAGTCCCACATTGTATTTGGTGTAAATTAGAGTCAGTTGCATTCAAGTTTATCTACAGAGTGAAAACACAGTCTTAAGAAAACTCGCTCAAGAAAAGGCTGCATTGTTTATCTCTCCAGATAACAATCAGTGAAACCCATCCCGAACTGTGGAAGAGATTTTAAAAATGAACAAGTTTTAATTACGATATTACAGAAAGAAGGGAAACTATCAATACAACTGGAATCTTCTCGGATGGGATTGCTTGTGGTGTTTGATAGCTTGTTTACAGGAACAGACAGGAGCAGAATTGACCAAATAAGTTGTCTACTCCTGTTTCTATTTACCACAGAATCAAATTAAATCAACAAATGCAGTTCCCAGAGTGTGGTTTACTCAGAACACAATTCTCACCTGGCTCTATTTTCAAAATTGCCCCATCCTTTTGGTGATAGAGAAGTTTTCTAGAGAGCAATGCATCTCTAGTAGATTAGAGATGCATTGCTTTAACTTTTAGATTGGCTTGTGTTCTACCTTTGGAATAACACTATTAAATGCAGAGTAAATAGGTTCTGCTTTCAATTCACTACCAAGAAACTCTGTTTTAAAAACCTCCAAACGCAGCACTACAAATGTCTGTTCTTTAAATGACTGATGATTTATGATTAAATTACTGAGGATGAGTGCAAAGTATCTTGCAAATTTGCGTATTTAAAGGTCTGGGACAAGAAATATGTGATTCCAAATGGTACAGAAATAAATTACACTAATGATAAATAATGTATTTTAAAGAAAGATAGGTTATTAATAATTTTCATCAAGATATGCGTTGGACAGTAGCCAAGACTCACTGTTCATATTCATAATTCAAGATCTTTTCTTGACATTTGGTAAATAATTTGGTTGATTGCTCATATATAATTGTGCCTGTATGACCACGCTGTTGTGTCAGCGCTCATACTGAGCTGCATCCACGACTTAAACACGCAGATTATGGGGCTCGATCATTCTGTCTCATTTATAATCATAAAATTGAACATCAAATTGCGTCACTATATGTCAATGCACAGAAGCTCATCGTAGTGCAGTGGGTCAGGGAGAGTGAGGGAGGACAAGTGCTCTGTCTCAGTGAGAGAGAACATGTTTCCTAGCTCAGATGTGCTGACAGTGTTGTGCTCAGAGTGTAGAAACTATATTAATGGGATATTTCCCATTTTGTGGGATTGTGAATGGTAGGGATAAATGTTCTAAATTAAGTTTCCAGTCTTTCCATCCTTTATCTGAAATGTTTTTTTCTAACACACCACCATTCACTGAACAGGGGGTTATCTCTATTTCAAGGACTTTTTTCTCTCTTGCTAACGGAAGTAATCTGTACCTGTGGAGGCAACACCCTTATAAATGTTGCTGCTGCTGAATATTGGGCCTCGACATAAATGCAACATTAGTTGCAATGGATGTAATGGTCTATGATTTAGCCCAAAGGCAGAGATTAATTATTAGTAAGATCATTCTGGGCTCAGCATGACACTGATCCCGCTGCCTACAAATGTTAATGTTGCAGCATAATGGCTCTACTTTCTTGGCTACACAAATATAAATGTTGCCTCCTATGGATTCAGCCACTTTTATCTAACTGTGGGTGGACTGAGTTCACAATCCATCCATACCGGAGATGCACTTTTTGTCTTTCTTTCCCGACCCAACTGTCCAGCGCCTTGGGACGTCATCCCGACGTGAAAGGCGTTCTATAAATGCAATCTTGTTGTTGTTGTTGTTTCTTCCCAAAGTTCAGAAGAGGGCCAGCAAATGTCAGCATGATTTTGCAAGAGATGTTTGAAAGAAGAAGTCCTTTCAACTCATTTGATCTAACCTTTTTGTATCCCAATTCTACAATCTTCTCATTATTGGATTTAGTTTTTTTTAAATCAGTCCAGTGTACTACTCTCAACCATGCTTCTGCTCTCAACTGCTCTTCTTGTAGAGTGCTACCATTGTGCCAGGTGTCAGCCTGTGAGTCAAAAGGTTGTGGGTTCAAGCCCAACATTGAGAATTGGTCTAAGCTGACATTACAATGCTGTGCTGGAGGTGGGTTGCATTGTCGGAGGTGCCGTCCTTCGGATGAGACCTTAAATCGAGGTCCGCCTGTCTGCCTGTTCGGGTGGGTGATAAAGATCCCATGGCACTATTCAAAAAGAGAAGGGAGTTTCTCCTGGTGACCTGGCCAACAAATCCCTCAAATCATTCCCTCCATGGCTGTTTGTGGGACATTGCTGTGTGCAAACTGGCTGCTGTGTTTCGCGCACAAAATACACACAATCCAATTTACAGTATGTCCTGTGCTCTGAGTTAAGCACTCTGAGACGCGTGGAGGGCACTATATAAATCCAAGTTGTTGTTGTTGAAGCACTTTGAGAAGTATCGGTGACATGATAAAATGCTCTGTCAAATGTAAGGATTGTTATTATTATCCATTCCGACTGTTGATTTCCTTATGTGTGGAAGAATTCTTTCCTTATATCGATCCTAAACTTACCCTTCACAATTCTAAGCCTTGCCCTCTTGTTCTGCTGTGTTTTTTCTGAAAGGGTTGTTCCAGGTTTACTCTCTCAAGATCACAAGAGAAGTTTGGATGAAGAGGCCCTTTGGCCCATTTGATCACATCCTTTCAGAATACCAACCTACCATTCTCCCATTACAACATCAGTTTCTTCCTTTAAACAGTATCTATTCAAGGCTAAATTTACGACATGTAATAAATGAAAAAAACTCCATAGAATTCTGTTAAACAAGTAACTGGTCATTTCTATTGAGACCATCATTGACTAATCTACAACGGGCCATTCAGTGTGACAAACATGGATTTCAAATTTGACCCCGTTGTGTCTCTGTTGCTGTAGATTTGGGGATGCTCTGTATTTGGGGTCAGTTAGACCAATAAGTAAATGAAATTGCAACACATTATAAGGTGCCTTGGTGGAGTGCAAGTCTGCTTATAATGCGAGTGTCCTGTGGACCTGTAGTAACCAGTAGTGCACTACAGTTCTGACATGGCTTCTGACATGGACTGGCCAACTTTCCATGCATCGTGCAAGAAGAAGCCAAGAGTTGTCAAGGCAATCAGTCGGCTTCCTGTGCAGGACTGGCAGTCATTTGTATGCCAAGACTGTTATAACGCGAATCTAATATGATAGACCCAAATCTCTGCATTTTATAGTTCTTTTGAAATGTATTTCACTGGGGTTAAAATATTGTCAGGTGATATTATTTGAAGGCTTTCGTATATGTTCTTCAGTGCCAAAGCTGAATACTAACACATTTTTTTCTGTCCAAAGGTTTAGATTTTATGAGGAGTTTTGGTGTGATATTTTTATTTCTTTTCCTTTCCCCCTCCCAAACCAGGCTACTCTGCAAGACTTGGACCAAAAGCGCCCTCAGCTGGAGGAGCTTATTACTGCAGCCCAGAACCTGAAGAACAAGACAACTAACCAGGAGGCTCGTGCAGTCATTACAGATCGCAGTAAGTCGTGTGAAAATGCCAAGATTAAATTTCCTGTCTGTTATGTAACTCCTCTGTGGGTTGCTCTGACACTTCACTGCTTTTAATTTTGTATTATTTAACCGGAGATGCTTGAATGTTGACAACTTGATTGGTCGGGATTCAAATAAGTGCCTTAGGAAAGTAAAAACGCATTTGGAATCAGAAAAATTACCACAAGACAACAATTCCAGAATAAATTTCAGTGAGATTGGTCGACAAAGATGCCCGAACGCCCTTCAGCCTCCTCCTCAGACAAGCTGTTCTGCGCCAACATTGCTCATTATGTGCTTTACTGAGTAATATCTGTCATAGAATAGAAGTTTTTTTTCATCTTGAAATGAAGGCAATGTTAAAATTGAAGGGATTTGCACAACAGTAAACCAGCATATCGCTGATCTCTACATGGAATTGTGATAGGACATTCTCAGTGAATCTGTTTGAACAGTTTGAAAAGGCAGCAAGAAGACTGTAATCATTACTATACCTGTAACTCTTGAAATCTGTACTACAAAAAGCCCTCCTAGCTCAGCTGCCCACTGTCAATATTAAGCAACAGTGTGCTGAGAGCATGACTCTCGAGACAGTGTTCAAAATCTCCCTGAATTTTAATTACAAGCAGCCAGTACTAGCTTATAAACTTGTTATATTACAAGAAACATACAACAAGTATGTTTCTGTCCAATCCACCTGTTTTAAACAATGTAATACTTTCTGTGCGAACGCAAAATACTGCAGATGCTGGAAATCTGAAAGAAAAACAGAAGTCGTTGGGAATGCTCAGCAGGTCAGGCAGCATCTATGGAGAAAGGAAAGTGAATCAACGATTCGGGTCCACGACCCGTTCTGACGATGGGTCGTGGACCCGAAACCTTGCCTCACTTTCCTTTCTCCATAGCTGCTGCCTGACCTGCTGAGTGTTCTAGGGACTTCTGTTTTAATAGTTTCTGTAGCACTGACGACAAATGTTGACTTCGGCACATGCCCATGTTTGAGAAGATCCGAAGAGCAATCTGAAAACTGTGACTGTCCAGACCAGCAAGCTGGCCTACAACCTGCCCCACCCCACACACTGACATCCCCTTTGCTGCACAGCATTACCCCCCACTTTCTTACAAGGTTTGATAATCTGCCGCAATGCCAGTGACCCCCACTCCAGATAATTCAAATTTACAGATGATCAAGTCTCCAGATAAATCAAGACCGATTTCAAGCAGATCATTGCCTCTGGACTCCACAAATAAAGGCATCTTCCTTTGCTTTGAATGGATTTTGTGGTCTTTGTGCAGGGGGAGACTCAGGCTGTCGATTTATTACTCTCGGGTCCTGTTTCAGTAGGATGAGGATGTGTTTATTATTACTACTGACAGTTATCTGGGGCAGCCATTTGTTATTATTAATAACAAACAGTTACTTGGCTATTCCACACAGAAAAGATCACACTTTATCAATGTTTCTCTCCAATTTTCTCTTCTCCTCTCCAGAAGGCACTGACTCATGCTGAGATATGGTTCCATGAGCAGCAGATACCCTCCAGTACTTGCTCAACTCGTTATTTAGGTGTGAGGCTGGAAAGTTGTAAGGCTGTAGTTTGGTGGAGAGCATCACAACTGCACTGATCCTGCCCTCACTCAATATTCAGACTTACCAGCAGGAGGCATTGGATAGTGATCAGGAAAGGCACACTTAATTTCCCTCCTCCTAAGCTCGTGGCTAAATGAAACAATTGTTGAACTCTAGCAATAACCTAGCCGACGTCAGTAAGTTCAAGTTCAGGCTGAATAGAGCATTACACAGGGGACCTGTCTTTGCTGGATGGCTCATTTACACATTAGGCAGAGCACCAAGCAACCAAGCCAATGAAGGAGCCAAGGTTTGATATTTTTAATCAGAGCTTTGCTCACTCCAACTGCTTTTACATTATAGCCACTACCTATCCTTACAACTGTGCCATCTGATTTTCTGGGTGGCTTTTCAAGCACTACACAAATGTGGAGTTATCTGTTTGATACTGTCCTTTTAATATGAACAAATCGCCAATAACAGTGGTCAGTATGTTACTCTATTAAGAGATTCTTTAAGTTTTGAACATGAATTACCAGGAAATGAACCATGCCTCCCCCCCAAATAAAAGTTGTGCCATCGTCTTCAGGGCTGAGGTTTAGTTGAGTTAGTTCAAGCTCAGAGTAAAACCACAATCTTGCTAACCAACAGTTGAAGACTAAGGTCCCCAAACTGGAAGCCCAAATGTGCTCCAGGTTGTCAATGATGTTGAGATGAGTGGGGGGTGGGGACTGTGGAGGGGACATTCTGCCTCCAGTTAACAACAGTTAATTCCTGTTTTTAAAGAAATTCATCATTTAAACCTGGAGTTAAAATCATATTACTGACTTCTGGTGTCATATTCTGGAGTCCTGTAGCTCAGTGGTTAGAGCACTCGCTTTGCAAGCGAGAGACCCGAGTTCAATTCCAGGCAGAGCGAAACCTTGGGCAAGTTTCCTTACTCCACACAGAGCCTAATAATAATCCCTCCAAAAAAAAACAATAATAAAAAATTGGTCACTTTCAATCCATGACTGTTTGTGGGACATTGCTGTGCGCAATTGGCTGCCGCGTTCGCCTACAAATATACAGTCAATTCACTTTACAATATATTCTGTGAAGTGCTTTGGGACGTCCTCCCGACGTGAAAAGCGCTATATCAAATGCAAGGATTATTATTATTATTATTATATTCTATTAACATATAAGGAGAAATAAGAAAATCAACTACACTGGACAGGGGTTGTGGCTCACAGTACTATTTGTGCAGCCTCTGAAATGGTAAGCGATATGCCTGGCTGCAGAGCTGAAAGGGGCAATTCATATAAAGTGTAAAAACTATTTTAGTATTTCAGGTTACACTTCATTAAACAAGTAATGAGTTCCAGATCACAGTAGATTAGGGCTGTCACAGTGACCATAATACCCAATGTATCAGTAAATTCGAAATATTAGGACTCCCACAGCAGCTCTACTGTTCATTAATGTTAATAGCCTTTAAATTATATTTTGGGTAAAAGTTGAAAGATGTATTAATGATTTTCATGTTTCATTCTCAAATTAAATTTTTGACAAATTACACATTTTGTAAATAATCTGCTCTTCTGAGTAGCATAGGGTATATGTCAAATGTGTTTTGATAAGTTATTAAATATAGCTTTGACAATAAAAGCTTAATTACAAGCTGAAGTAGACCAAATTCATTCTGCAGTAAACTCCACCTGCAGCACATCTTTGTGTTTAGTATTGAACAATAGAGTGGAGTCCTGTAGCTCAGTGGTTAGAGCACTCGCTTTGCAAGTGAGAGACCTGAGTTCAATTCCAGGCAGGTCAGGGCGAAACCTTGGGCAAGTTTCCTTACTCCACACAGAGCCTAATAATAATCCCTCCAAAACAAAAACAATAATAAATTGGTCATTTTCAATCTACGACTGTTTGTGGGACATTGCTGTGCGCAATTAGCTGCCGCGTTCGCCCACAAATATACAGTCAATTCACTTTACAGTCTATTCTGTGAAGCGCTTTGGGACGTCCTCCCGACGTGAAAAGCGCTATATCAAATGCAAGGATTATTATTATTATTATTATTATTAATAGAGCAAGAATCTTGTTTTGATTCTTGTGGAGTCCTGTAGCTCAGTGGTTAGAGCACTCGCCTTGCAAGCAAGAGACCTGGGTTCAATTCCTGGTAGGGCGAAACACTGGGCAAGTTTCCTTACTCCATACACCCCTGGTTACCTAGCAGTAAGTAGGAACCCAGTTAGTCGATTGGTGGATCGCTTTTCGGGGGGTAATAATTCCTTCAAAAAATAATAATAATAATAAATTGGTCACTTCAATCCATAACTGTTTGTGGGACACTGCTGTGCGTAATTCCCTGCTGTGTTTTGCTCACAAAATATACAGTCAATTCACTTTACAGTATATTATGTGAAGCACTTTGCAATGTCTCAAAGACTATATCAAATGCAAGGATTATTATTATCAAATATGACAAATTAGACACCATTGTATATTTAAAATAATAGAGTAGATCTGCAGTTTTATACTTTGCATATGATTAAAAATTGTGCTGTTCTCAAAACTATCAATGCTTTGACCACAGTTTAAACAGATAATATGCACCAAGACAGTAGAACAAGAGGATAGGTTTAGAGCTGCAAAGGTCAATTTCAGGACAGATACCAGGAGGTTTTTCTTCAATGAGAAGATAATTAATGAGTGGAACAGTTTGCCACGAAGGCCAGGACGCTGCACTAATTTAAAAAGCCCCTCTCTGACCTGTTTACTCCCCATTCCACTACCCACCGCCTCTGCTCAGCCTGCTCCGGCCTCCTGCTTGTCCCCTACGCTCCACCCTCGGCAGCCATGCTTTCAGCTACTACGCTCCGAAACTTGGGAACTCTCCCTCAAACCCTCCGCCTTGTCTCCTCCTTCTCCATTTTCAGATCACACCTCTTTGACTGTGCCTACGTAACCTCGTTCCTTCCCCTGGTTCAGCATCGAGCTACGCTAAGCACTCTGAGATGCTACCGTGCATGAAAGGTGTTATATGAATGCAAGCTGCTGTTGTTGATATAACACCTTATCACATGGTGATAGAGGCAGGAGATTGAGCACTGAGTTTCAGCTGCCTAAAAGGCAATATATTCTGTTAATCTTCATCAAATCACAATATAAGCAATGCTAGAATTTTCCCTCCAGTGTATAAGTAAATATTTGACTGAATATGGAGCCAGTAATTCATATGGTTAGAAGACCAGTTTCTAACTGGGCACAACAACAAGATGTCACCTGAAAAATTATGTTTTACTTTGTAGAATTGTCTGTTATTCTCCTAGGCAATGCTTATTGTAATATGTTTGGGTAAATATTCTGGTCATTGGAACAAAGATTAGCTTTATTTTGTCCATCCAGAAGAAAAATGCCTACGTTTTTGATTGATGCAAATCAGGTAAAGGTAAATGTGCTCTCACGTTTTTGCACAGGGTGTTTAGGGAAAGCATAAGCTCCTGAAATTAAGGGTCCTTGTACAATAAGTACATGGGATCAGAACAGTGACGTTGGACTTGAACGTAACCTTCTGTTTTTCCCTCCAGTTGAAAAGGTTCAAACCCAGTGGGATGAGGTGCAGAACCGACTACAAGCCCGCACTCTGCAGTTGCAGGAGATGCTCAAGGACTCCAACCAGTGGCTTGAAGCTAAACAAGAAGCAGAAGAACATCTGGAGAGAGCTAAAACCAAGCAGGGAACTGGGAAAGTAATGTCCTACACCGTGGACTCATTGATGAAGCAGAATGCAGAGCTTAAGGTATTCAAAGGACTGTTTCAACTCTACTTAGAATATAGGATATTTGCCCCCAAAGTATACAGTCAATTTACTTTATAGTATATTCTGTGCAGTGCTTTGAGATGTCTTGAAGATGCAATAAGGCACTATATCAAATGCAAGGCTTATTATTATTGTGTACAGTTTTAAATATCCTACTTCAGGAAGACAGGCATGGGTGTAGGTTGAGTTGCTAATTGACTCTCCCTTCAGGGATCGGGGAAGCTTGAGGCAGAGCTTGATGGCTATGTGCCATGTGATTGCAGAGACCTGCAGGGTTAGGGAGGAAAATTGACAGGAGTAGCAAACAGAGGAAAAGCCATCATAAGCTTATCTGAACAAACCATTGCAAGAGAATCAGCGAGAGAGCTCACTTAATGAAAGAGAGAGAGTATGAGAAAAGTGCAGCATGTAAAGATATTTTTTGGTCAGCCAGATGTCTTACCATGCAGAAACTCAGCATCAAACTTGAGAGTCTCCAAACCAAACTATTGAGAGTTCTACATCATATGGTTTCCGTTTGGTTTTGAATGCACACTGTCTCCCAGAGAATTGTGTTTTGCTTACCTAATCAAAGAGAGTTTAGGTACAGATTGACAAGAGTGAAGACTTAGGGACCCCAGAGTATACATAGGGGTATTGCTGGAGGTACTGTAGCAGTAGCCCCAAAGAACTTAAATAATTGATCAATGCATCCACTAATTTAATTGTTTCATTTTATTACATTTTATGAGAATTCTATTTTTGTAAAGTAATTTTAAATACATTTTTTAATAAAAAATCCAGTCAAAAATGATTTACGTAACTAAAGCAAACAATATCTCCATTGCTAATTTGTTTAGTTTAATAACTAAATCCTGTAATATTTTCACTGGTCAATTACTCACTGGCACAGACACTTTGTTTTTGTGTCCTCCAGACCAGTTAGAAACATCCCCCCTGAGAAGAAAGAGGTAAATGTAAAGGGATCAGTGCAGACGGAAATATTCTCATGGTCAGATCAATGTGTAAAGTGAATTGACTGTATATTTGTGGGTGAAATGCAGCAGCTAATTTCACACAGCAGTGTCCCACAAACAGTCGTGGATTGAAAATGACCAATTTATTATTGTTTTGTTTTAGAGGGATTATTATTAGGTGTGTGAAGTAAGGAAACTTGCCCAAGGTTTCGCTCTGCCTGGAATTGAACCCAGGTGTCTCGCTTGCAAGGCGAGTGCTCTAACCACTGAGCTACAGGACTCCACATCATCCCTCTGGCCCTCTGTTGGTATCTGGGCAATGAGCAGAATAAAACCAGCTTATTCTTTATAGCCTTCCTTTAATTAAGGACCCGAGAACAGAGCAACCAAAGACACTCAGCAACTCATGCTTTGAAAATGTCTTTACTTAATAAGAAATACAAAGTTTGTTAATTAAATCATCACAAATACAACAAACAGGTCAATATCATAGACAAATGTCCACATCAAAGTTAGTTGGTAAATTTACAAACAGCAGGCAAAAGTCTTGCATTAGATGAAAAGTCTCTTGCATCAGATCAGAAATTTCTTGCTTGGGTAATTAATCACAAAGTCAAAGTTGAATCTTTAATGATGGACAGCTGAGCTGTGCACTTTATTTGACAGTTGTTATATATTGATAATTCATCTCAGTAGTGGTACGTTGTAATTCTTCTCTTCCCGTTATCTTTCAATCGATTTCAGACTTTCTAGAATTTCTGCAGTTTCCTTCTTCCTGAAATTGCTGGAGTTAACGAAAGTTGATGAAACGATGGAACAGTCTAAGTCTGATAGATTTTAACCCCGAAGACAACACATTTGCTTCACCACTTCATATTGTCAGATGAAAGTTGGCTCTTGTGTGGACAGCACCTGATATGCTATGTCCTAGGCTGAACAAAGTATAGTTCAGGCATCCATCTTTTATAATCAATTTTCCACAGACAGGATAAGAATATACAATCTTTCCTTTCTCACGTCCATGAAGCAATTTTCTCACATAAAAGAATAACAAAATACAATCTGCAGAATTATTATTGTTATAGAAGAACATGAATTGTTATAAATCTTGAATTGTTATAGAAAACATATTTAACACAAACATGAATTTGTTATGGAAAGACATATTCAACAATCATCTTGACATTTTTCTAGACAACATAAGCATTTTTAACCATTAATTAAAATAATTATTTCGACTACATGGGTTAACATATATTCACAATTTCAGTTATGAAGCAGGATCACAACACATTCTGTTCATAGGTTCTTACAGGGGTTTTGCACTGGTATGAATTGTTGCAAAGAGAATGCATACATCTCTCTGTCAGGCATTAGTCCTAGACTTTGTGTAACATCAATTTAGAAAGGTTACTCCTGAGCTATGTGTAAGCAGTCCTTAACAACTTTTCAGGTTATTGCACTAAGACAAATGCTTCTAAATGACTAATACTTTGTTCATAGAGAAGAAACCACCATCAAATAGACATTGATTTGGACTCCTGCAATATAAATGCAGAGCTTTCACATTTTTTCAAACTCCACACGAAAAAATTGTTCTAAGATGTTTTACAGGCCTCTCAGGCAATGGCTGCAGTTACTCATGTGGTACATACATAAAATTGTACATATGCGGAACCTCCACAGCCTGGAAAAGCAATTGGGAGCAGAAATAAAAATCTGCTTCCTGCTCCCAATCTTCTTGTACCATATTGATTAGACCACTCACAAGCGAGAGGACCTAAGTTCGATTCCCAGGCAGGAGAAAGTGGTAGGCAAGTTTCCTTATTCCACATGCCTCTGTTTATCTCGCAGCAAGTAGAAACCCAGTTGTTAGTCAATTGGTGGATCACTTTTCTGGAAGTAATAAACCTTTAAAAAAATATATTAAAAAAAATAATTTGTTCAATTCATTTTACAGTATATTCTGTGAAGCGCTTTGAGACGTCTCAAAGATGTGATGAAGTGTTATATTAAGTACAAGGATTATTATAATCACTACAATAAGTATCATTTTATTTAATAGGGTAGCAAAATAAATAAATATTTGTATCGAGCCTTTGAGCTCGATACCCTTTGGTAATCTCTTCCCAAATCCTTTCACCTCACACTCTCCTCAGCTTTCAAAAACCTTCTAAAAACCTACCTCATTTAACCATCGCTGCAATCAACTCCCTCCTTCCCCCACCCATATTTCCCAGCTTGGTAGGGTTTTCAACTCTATAAAGCATTTAGAGACCTTATTGTACAGCACAAATGTAATAGAAGTGCAAATTGTTGAATTATATTAAGTTACACAAAGCTTGATGTTGGGTCTTACTGAACTGTCATTGTCATTGATCTTAGTCTCTATTACCATTTAGTGCTTGGCATTGATTACCGCTCTGTGCAAACCATAGTCAGTTGGTGCAAATCCATTTAAAGCAATTGGAAAATGTACAGTGAAGCAGCAGCATTAATACTTACCTGAAATCTTCAGACCAATGTCTAATTTTTTAAAAAATTTCCAACTTGTTCCATGTTCTACTTAATTCAAATACCAAAATTAAGTTAATGAAGTACTTTGAATGTGCATTTGATTATTCGGATGTAACTTGGTAACAAATGAGGCCTGAAAATAAAAATAATTATGTGTCATTAGTGTAATTATACAAATTCATTACATGAAGTCATGTAAGGAAGAAATAATGGACCTGTAATAGGCTAGCCCATCAAATATTCATTACAACAGCCTATTATTAATGCCTTTAAAAGAGATCTATAGAAGACAGTAAATTTGGTACCAGGTAAGGTAATCTAAGTACATGAGTTGGCATTAGTCTCCTTTCAAAACAAATGCAATTACATGGTTTTTTTCATGTATTTCATTCAAAAGAATCAGTCACAATATACTGTAAGTTATAACACTGGATATTGCTACATTTTTTCCTTAGTTGTACTTGTCCCTCTGCTACAGTAACACAGATGTGACATATCCCAAGAGCAGGAATAAGCCCTCCCTTCCAATCTATGTAGGAGGTGTTTAATTTTAAATAATGGAGCAATTCCAAACAAAAAAAATTTGAATTATTCAGCAGTGGCCTTTTCAATAAGGGTTACAAACATTGAATATTGATCTACTCTTTATATATTTTCAGCACGTCTCTAACTACACTTGGAAGAAATTGTTCTGTGTATCAGGAATGGCAGAAATGAGCAGCTTCCGCCAATAGCTTTTGACAGAAGGATATTCAATCTAATCATTTTATTTGTGAGTTTGGGCAGTGGCAAGGTAATTTGTATTGGATGATGGTTGGCAGTAAATAGACAGCAAGTGACTCCTGTTTTGGAGCAGATGACTGAGGTGCATTTGATTAATGGATTTTGTTCCATTTTTCATGTGTTAGAAATGAGGGGAAAAACAGAATCTTTCACAATGAGATTGACTTATCTTTGACTGTCCCTTCCATTTGATTACATTAGCATCAATGTGCGTTAATACGCAGGAAGCATTAGGAAGCATTTTTCCACTTCAGTGGTGGTAAAAATCTGGAATTCTCTCCCCCAAAAGGCCGTGGATCCTGGATCCATCCACACCTTCAAGATTGAGGTTGATAGATTTTTGGTAGGTCAGGGTATTAAGGGATATGGAGGAAAAGTGGGAAATTGGAATCGTAAAGATTAGTTGAGGTACAGATCAGCCATGATCGAATTAAATGGTGGAATAGGCTCGAAGGGCTGAATGGCCTACTCCTGTTCCTGTGTTCCTATGAACACTATGTAACATAGTCTCTTTTGTCCCATCTCTTCCTTCCTTGGACTCATCTTCTCTTTCAGTTTCCTCTTGATTCCTCTCTCTCCACCTTCAATCCTCTCTCCCTTTCTCAGTTCCTCCTTCTCTCCATTTCTCCTCTCTTCCTTATCTCAGCTTTCCTCCTCTCCCCTCGCTTTTTCTCTCCCTAGCTGCACTTGAATACCTTATTGACATTTTCTTAATTGTAGAAA